TGCCAATTTGAATACCTTTTATTTCTTTTTGTTGTCTGATTGCTGTTGCTAGGAATTCTAGTACTATGTTGAACAATAGTGGCGAGAATGGGCATCCTTGACGTACATTCTCAGCTTCTAACAAACCTCTATACTCTTGCCCACGGCTAAGCTTCTGTGGACTGGTCATGATGCCTGAAACTCGCATTGTGACTTCGCCTGAGCCCATTGATTTGGGAGGAGAACACAGACTCTCTTTCACCTTGGGAGAGATGACTGTGGTGTTGTAAGAGCTTCAGAAGGAGAAGCCTCCTCACTGAGTGACTTTGGGCAAGCATTTCAGCTTCTGTGGACATGTCTCCTTTTTGATAAAATAGGGATGCCGAATCTTGCCTCACCAGGGTCGTTCTAAAGGTTGAATGTGATTTAATACAACACAGTGTCTACCGTTTACTATACAACTCGTCAGGCATGTGATCCTCCCGGCAGCGCCATGAGTCATGTGGCTTGACCCCATCTTATAAATGAAGAAAAATAAACTCTAAGAGGTGCCAGTTTGTCCAAGGTCACAGAGCTGATGGGTGATGAAGGTAGGATTTGGCGAAAGTTTTACTCCTGAGTGCACGCTCTTAGTTACTAAGCGATACCCCACCACAGATGCAAATGCCTCAAAATGCTCATTATTGTTTTTACAGGCTCCATGGAATGAATTGTCCCCTCCGAGGTACTAAATGGTCCATTAACTTCAGGCCAGATCAAACCACCATTGCTATGTGACCTATTTACACTTTGGGGTTCCTCGCCTTTCAGAAGGCTTACAACACTCCTCAGCTTTAAAGTCTTACATTCACCTTTGATACTGTTTTGTATAATTTTCTTCCTTTTGCAGGCAAGGAAGCTAAAAGGAAAAACCACTTTCCTAAGCTCACTCAAAGAATGAGTGGCAAAACCAGCAACAGTTGACTCGTCGATGCCTGAGGTGACTCAGATTCCCTATGTTAGCCACTTCTGTAAGGAGAATTCCTTCCAAGGTAATCTGGAACATGCTAGAGCCATTGGCCAGACCCCTGGGCATTTCATACTTATCAAAGCCCCAGACGGTGCAGAACCACTCTGGGGGAAATGTCTCTATAATCCAGCATATCTACCCTGCCCCTGGCCTGCCCTTGAGAGCAATCTTCGACACTGAAATTCTAAAGCAGTGGCAGCTTTGGTGGTCTCTCAGAATTCGTATCTCACAGAGGCTCTGGGAGGTTAGAAGGAGGACCGAAGGAAATCGAGTCCTGTCTCTCCTTCAGCATTCTTTGTGGACAGGTTTTCAGGAAAATATGTTCGGTGGGAAGTAGAAACTTGGAGCACAAGTGCCTTGGGCATTGGGAGAGGTTTCGCCACTGGGTGCCATGGTGAGGGGCCGTCTTGGCATTTGGCGTAGAAATTGAAAAGGAGACCGTTCATCCTGAGAGAGGTTGGTGAGGAGGTCTCTAAGTCTCAAAGTGTTCCTAGCGTCTTTGAAAGGCTCTTAGTGTTTTGGAAGGGCCGGCTGTCAGAGGGACATGGAGTGATACGGGTGCACCATCGTGATATTCCCAGGATGAATGGGGAAACCCAGGGAGCTCCTGGGAAGAAAGCTGACTCGACCATGGGCCTTGCGAGGAGCGTCCATACTTCTCCTCAGAGCCCACGAACCCACTCCCACAGCAGGGCCTTCTCAGCATTTCACTTCCTGGGCAGACTGAAGAAGTTACCTCTATGGTGTGGCCATGGTCTCAGTGATACCCAGTTGGGGGAAAGCAGATAGCGGAGTGACGGGTTAACCTTGTGATAAATGCTTTTGCTCCTGTCGCCAGGCAGACTCTCAGTCTGAGCTCTTCTGCACGAGACCCCCAGTGTCCCAAGTGTCAGGGGCAGGATCACTAACCTGTCACGGAGTGCAAGTAGCCCCCATTTCATGGAGCATGCTATCTACCTTCCTGGAGAGCTTGCTTCAGACAAAGTTCTCTCCACTCCCCAAGCCAGAGAGGATGAAAGGTCAGGAAAATGCCTCTGAGAAAACCCTGGTGCGTGCATCCTGCTGTGTCGTCTGGCCACTCGCCTTCACCCCTGCTCTCCCAGCCTACAGCTGCCACGCTTCTGTGCAGAAACGGGCCATGCTGGGTTCCCTCTGAGAGAGATTCTTTTGCTGTTGCCCTAGTAACAGAATTATTAAACCAAGTTCCAGCCTCGGGAGTATTTGTGCCTGGTGAGGTAATGTCTGTCGCATGCAGCCTTTTCATTCCCACCCCCACCCCCTCACTTCAGGCCCTCTGTGCCTCACACCTAGACTGATGGGCTCGGCTCCTCCCTGTCCCCAGTACCACCTGTTTCCCCCACCCCCCCTTCCTGGGGTGGCTCCCAGCTGAGCAACACCCTTTCTCAGGCTCAGAGACTCCTTGTTGGCCAAACTCCCCATTGGCCTGGTATTCAGGGCCCCCCATTGTGGCCCATAGCACCTTCCGAAGCCCGAAGTGCTCCCTTCCCAAAGCCCACAGTGCTCCCTTCGCCTTAGCAGAGCAGGCTGCACCTGCAGGCCGGTGACGGGGAGTAGATCCCAGAAGAACAAACACGGAGAAGCCACAGGACTTAGGTGGCGACTGGTCGTTGAAGAGGCGATACGTACAGGGGAGCGTTTAAGCATCTGGGCTTCGGAACGAGACTGTGTGTACAATTTGAGCTCTCACTCAATAGATGTGTGACTTTGGGCAAGTTTCCTTTCCTTTTCTTTTCTTCTTTTTTTTTTTTTAAGAATTTATTTATTTTAGGGAGAGAGAGTGTGCATGAGCCGGGGGAGCGGAAGAGAGAGGAAACAGACTCCCTGCGGAGCCGGGCTCGATCCCACAGCCCTGAGACCATGGCCTGAGCCAGAGTCCGAGGCTTAACCGACTGCACCACCTAGGCGTCCCTCAGGCAGGTTTCTTCCCTCACGTCTCAGTTTCCTCAAAGGCAATATGGGGACAGTGATGGTAGCTGCCTCCTAAGGGTTTCTCTGCCCAGTTAAAGATCTTCGAGCGTGCTCCGCTTAGTCCCTGTGCACACAGAATCATAGCAGCCGTGTTAGCTGGGATGATGAAGGTGGCTGACAGGCGAGGGGTGACCCTGTGGGAAACGGGGCCCAGAGCGGCTCCTGATTTGGGCGAGTGGGGGGAAATCGCGTGGATAGAGAATGCAGGTGCAGAAGGAACCCGCTGGTTTGCACTTGGGGGTTGTTGAGTTTGAAGTGTCACAGCTCACTTGTATGATTGTCGCTGAGTGCGGGCACTATGCTGGCACATCCCATACATTGTCCCTTATGTAATTCCCACAGCAGCCCCCTGAGATGAGGATTATTAACACATGGCAGGGTTTAGCAGCTTGCCCAGTTGTTAAGCAGCAGAGCTGGGATTTGAACCCAGGCCTTTGTGTCTCCGGAGGCTGCACACTTTTTACCACTATATGCACGGCTTCCGAAGTATCTTGACTCTGGTTAGGAAGTCAGTCCTTTTGTGTGTGTGTGTGCGTGTGCATGTGTGTATTGCACACACATGTGCGTTTAGGGCTAAGATGGTCTTTGGGGGAACATAATGGTTTGCATTGCTTCCTGCCGAGGCAGTGGTCTGCCCCCTCACCTGGGTTCCCTGTGTGGAAATTTGGCCCCTAGACTTGGGGACTTTTATGACACGTGTTCTCCTGAGCTTGTGCTCCGAGTCAGTGGCTCAGTGCCTACCTGTCCCCTGGTCTTATTCCCAATCTCCCCCCACATGGTGTTCTTGGTCTTGAAAGTGTATTAGCATCTCTGAATCTCAGTTTTCTCTTTTGAACAACTCAAGCAGTTATGGAATTGCAGGAAGCATCAAAAAAAGATAGATGTTTCTTGAGGAGAGGGGCTGTTTCTGTTTTCTCAACATTCCCAGGGCCTGGGCCAGAGCTGGGCATGGACCAGCTGATCTCTGAACGAATACATGACCAACTGACTGCATAGGCTGTTATATATGGTCCTGGGTCCACCCCTTTTGTTTGATCCAACTGAGATTGCTTCCTTTTCCACTTACTGCTGTCCAGGGTGGTTACCCCAGTTTTTGTGCTTTGGGGATGACTCCGTTTAAACTTTTGGTGTCAGCTAAACCACAATGGCAGAATTGGGTTACCAAATTCTGGGTATTGGGTGTGTGCCCATATATGTGGTGGGGGATGGGGAGGTGGCGGGAGGTGGCAGGTGTGGAGGGACAAGGGAGTAGACTGGATCATATTTCCTCCAGAGACTTTCTTTGTAATGGGGAAGGTGCTCTGAGAACTTGAGGGACATGAATTTACATGCAGTAAATGGAACCCATGCTATGGTTGAATCTTAAAGACCAATATGATGGTATCAGGAGGTGAGGACTTTGGGAGGTGATTAGGTCATGAGGGTAAAGCCTCACGAATGGGATTAATGCCTCATCACAGAGGCCTCAGAAAGCTCCCAACCCCTCCTGCCCTGCGAGGATACAAGACGTTCGAGAGTTGGAAAAGGGCCCTCACTCAACTCTCCAGCAGCTTGATCTTGGACTTCCACCTCCCAGAACTGGGAGAAATAAATTTCTATTGTTTATAAGACACCTGGGCTGTGGCATTTATACAGCAGGGTACAATGAGTTGGCTTGTAACAGGAATATTCTGTTCTTTTAATAACAATGCTTCAACATGGCGACTTCAAAAATATTTTTCCCCCTATCATTCCACGTAGTGACACTTTCAGTAACCTGCATCTGGATTTTGCTGCTATTTAATTAAGACTTAACCCTCTAAAAATGCACATTTAATACTCAGAGTAAACCCTTGACTTGTTCCCTTTGAAGATAAACAGGTGAGATAGCTTCTTGAACTCCGAATTCTGAGATAATTAAGATTAGTTGCCATAGAGAGAGAGAGAGACAGAAATGCATTAAAATGTATCATACTTTCCATGTTTAGGAAATTCATTTAGTTAAATATTCAGGGCCATAAAATCTACCCAGACCTAGATACCTATTAATCTGCTGGCCATACAGCGTCCAGAGTGATCTTTCCTTGTCAGGAGAGGCTTCTTTTTTTTCTTTTTTTTAAAGATTTTATTTATTTATTTGAGAGAGAGAATGAAAGAGAGCACGAGAGGGAAGAGGGTCAGAGGGAGAAGCAGACCCCCCGCTGAGCAGGGAGCCTGATGCGGGACTCGATCCTGGGACTCCAGGATCATGACCTGAGCCGAAGGCAGTCGCTCAACCAACTGAGCCACCCAGGCGCCCAGGAGAGGCTTCTAATTGCTCCGCTCCTCTGCTCAGAAACTTCTAATGGCTCACCATTGTCCTATGTACTGATGGTGCTCCAGACCCTCAGGACCTGACCCAACCTCCCTTCCCCAGCTCGTGTGTTACCACCTAGCCACCTAGGTGCTGGCCGGCACCTGCTGGCACCTGCAGTGGGCCAAGCCTCTCTACATTATTTACCCTTTGGATTCTCTTTCTTGTCCTCTTGTGGCTTTGCGAGCTTCTGCTCACTCTTCTGGACCCAGGTCCAATTCCACATCCCGTTTAAATGCTGGGTCTCTGGATTCTTCCAGACAGAATAATCCTAGGCTTTCTTGGACTTTGCACTTTTATGACAATTCTCATTATAATGCACCACAATTTTACATTTTCCCCAGTAGACTGAGAGCACCTTGGGACCCAGGGCCCCACTCATTGTATGAATACGTACAGTGCCTTATATGAATACGCATGTTCATATAATATCTAGCTCATAGTCGGTCCTGAATCACTCTTGTTGGAGCAAATTAAATGAATGGCATTACATTGCCAGTTAATAGTATGTATTATAAAGTATGATGTTATAAAGATTTCTTCAGGGAACGAATGATCCGACCCAGTGTTGTCTGTGGTGTGACATATAAAAGCCCCACAGTGTTTTGTTGATGGGGGGCTGTCTTTGTACACCTGGCTGCAGGAGTGTGAAGCTAATCTAGAGCTCACTGTTACCCCTTTGGTTAAGTAGTAGAAAGGTCAAAGTTAGAGGCCACAAAAGAATCCCTTCTTTCATGATGCCTATAACATCCTGTGGACGCTCTAGACACTCAGTGATGGGAGGCTTATCATTTGATGGTTAAAGTGTGAACTGTGGAGTGAGGTGGACGTGACTCTGAGCTGCATGAATGGCAACTTCCCGACCTTGTCTTCATTTTTGTGATGTGAATAATAGAGATAATCATATTATATTCCTAAAGTGGCTTTGAGCGTAAATGAAATGTTCAGGCCACACAAACAGGTCCCCAGCATGCAGGAAAGTATTTAACAAAAGGTAGTAGCTATTATTTTTGTGTGGTTTTGTAATCGTTCTGGGTTATGAATAGAATTATAACAGCAATGCAAAATGATGCACTAAGTTTCCGCCAAGAAATAGCAAATGCAGTAATCATTACTGATTTTTTTTTTTTAAAGATTCCACTTACTTGTCAGAAAGAGAGAGTGCGTGCACAAGCAGGGGGAGCAGCAGGCAGAGGGAGAAGCAGACTCCCTACTGAGCAGGGAGCCCGACGTGGGGCTCGATCCCAGGACCCCAGGATCATGCCCTGAGCCGAAGGCAGATGCTTAACCGACTGAGCCACCCAGGCGCCCCATCATTACTGATTTGCTGGTGAGTTACAATATGGTTTGTTATTAGTAGCTGTTCGAGTACTGTCAGGGGCTAGCGCCAGTCCCAGAAGATTCCAAAAGAGCTGCTTAACTAAGGTCATCCGAGGGAAGCCGCTCAGATACCTGTGGTTCTGAGTCCAGCAAGACCAGCAGAGGAGGTTCCCAGACCGAACAGCACGAGGATGTGTTTGATGAGGCTGGGACACAGCTGCGTGGAGACAGACCTTCAGCACAACCACACAAAGGGCACGCAGGGCAGGTAATCTCTCTGCTCGTAATGCCAGATTGTAGGAGCCCATCGCCTCCTGTCCTGCATAGGAAACCCCCGAAGAGGAACTTTCTTGAGACATTCCATGGAGGCGACATCGGCAGCCACCTCTCGATTCTGTCCCTATCAGACCCGTGACTCCCAAAGCTTAGCATTCGTTTTGACTGTAAGAGTGTGAGTATGTAATCTCTGATGCATACATTTATTAAAAATGGAATCTCCTGTCCTTGGTGTTTTCTTAAGGATTCCTCCCTCTGATAATGCATTATCAAAGCAAAGAGTTGCTTTATTTAATGTACTCTGCTTTTATGATACTTCGTTTTCTTTTTCTTCTTTAAAGGAAAGAGGTTTCTGCAATCAATTTACAGTACATGGGATTGGGAGCATGGGAAGGAAATAATGCATGTGGAAGTCCGTGAAAGAGGCTGAGGTCTGAGATGACTAGGGTGTTCCTAAAGGTTCCAAGAATGCCCAGGGGCTGGCCCCTAGCCCTCGTAAAATCCACGAGAGACCAGTGCCCCATCTGAACCTCCAGGAGCTGCTCCGTTGTGAACTCATTCTCCTCCTCTCTCCTCTTCAGCGCCTCTGAAAACCATGAGTGGAGCTGAGGGACAGGCTGAGGGGCCCTTGGATGGAGATCTAGCCAGAAAGAGTCTGGAACCAGGAATGTAGGGACCTGAAGTTTAGTCCTGGTGCTTTCCTAAACTCCCTGTGCAACCTTGGACAAGCCCTTCACTCTCTAGGCTTCTGTTTCACCATCTGTGAATCAAGGGAGCTACGTCTTTGGGTCTCGGGTGCTGTGGAGCCAGCCCAGGGACAAGCAGTGGGGTGGGAAACAGCCCCTTCATCTCCTACCGAAAGGCACATTTCAGCTGTCCTTTATGAACACCTCATCCAAGGCAATGATGCATATTTCTGAGACTGGTGTAATCTGGAACTGGCAGCCTGGAGGTCTGGGGTAGCCAGGAGTCACTGGGAGTGCAGGGAAGCTATAACTTGGAAGCTCTGCACTTCCTTGGGAGGGGAGTGGAGGTGGGGGGGTGTCCTTCCTCGGGAAGCCACCATCCCGGGAGCACGTCAGAATAGTATATTTGTATGAAGTCAAACTCTGGTCTTTGGTCTTGATGGTAAGGAATCTCCACCCCCCCCCCCAAAACAAAACAAAACAAAAACAATACTCAGAGGATGTGGTGGTCTTTATTCAGAGAAATCAAGGTGAACTGAACAAATCTCAGGACCCCGGTAGAGCAAGAGGGGAAGTTGGGGAATTTTATCAATAAGCAGAACGGGTCCAATTAGAATGACACAAGTGACAAGACAAAGGGATTCTTTTTTTTAATTGAAAAGTTAGTTCATGCCCCTGGGGAATAACTCAAAACAGTTCAAAAAATTATCACTGAAGAATACATTTCTCTCCTACTCTCACTCTTTGGTCTCCATTCATAGAGGCAATCACCTTCTACAATTTGTGGATCCTTACAGAAATATTCTAGATGCCATCTGCTCATTGCTTCTTTGTGTAACAATATACTTGAAGATTGTCCTATAACAGCTTGTATATTCATTAATCATTTCAACAAATATTTGAGTGCCGGGCGAGGGCCAGTTACTGTTTAGGCTTTGAGAATACAACAGTAGAAAAGCAAGACCTTGGCCCTCAACATTCTAGGGACAATACCAGAAAATGAACAAGTAAATGATGATTATGTAATATAATGTCAGGTAGTGATAAATGTTGTGAAGAAAAATTGAAAAAGTCTGGGAAAAGAAGTGATGGGGCTCTTTTATCTATCTACTTATTTAATTTAATTTTTTATTTTAATTCCAGTATA